AAATGTGAAACAGATTTGTACACAAACTGCTGCGGGAACTGTAAATTAATGTTATATTAGGTCTTTCAATAGCAGTACATATATGTATATATATATTCGTGATCAGAATGATAGGCTGAGTATATAGTCTTAGGAGCGCTTTGAAATCTTTACTGTATATTGTCAATATCTCTCTCTCTCTCTCTTGCTCTCTTTCTTTATCTCTCTCTTTATATATATTTATATATGCACTTGTCTCAATTGTAAATCAAATCAAATCATCAGCTTTTTCTTTATACATTTATATATGCACTTGACTTCATTGTTTAATGTCCTATAAAAGCCTCATATAACGGAAGATTTTAAAATAAAGAAAAAAAAAATATATATAAATTTATAGCAATAAATAAAAACAAATTGTTAAAAATATCTAAAAAATTTTTGACAACCATTATTTTCATGTAACTTCTTCAATATTTACTACAAATAATATAAATGCTCCACCTTGATGTTATTCTACATCTCTTTACTATACAATAGCTCCTTATAATAACAAATATAGAAGCGCTAATAGACTATTATTTGGTGTATGTAAATTAAATGTCTTATTAATCTATTTAATAAAATACAAATATTATGAAATCTTTTCTTAAATATCATTTATATTTAAAGTACTCTATATCATCTACTCTTCAGAGCTAACAAGTTGGTAAAGCACTCAGTGCGTCAACAGCATCAGCAGAGTCGAACAATATGCACTAGAAACTTGAGATGCTGCCACGCCCACAGCTAGGCATAGGTACTCATACATTTATAGAGAGAGCTACGTCGGCTCACTAATGGCGGGAGCATTCAGCTAAAATGCTTACGACGTAATCATATGCTTAACAATTCATATTTTACTCGCAGCGCACCGGAGAGGGTTGACGTAATGCAGATGAGACAATCGGATTTCATGCTCATCACGAATGTTTGCAGGAGCAGGAGTAGGAGAAGGAGCAGGAGAAGGCGAGGTGGCTCGCTGTGTACCAATATTTGCACTGGCCTCCATATGAAATGATAGAGTGAACTATAACAGCCACATAAAGTGTGTGTGTGTGTGTGTGTGTGCTAAGAATGCCTGGATTGGCGGTTTAGTTGGTCTGGGTGGTTTGGGTGGTTTCGGTGGGTTAGCGAGTTTGATGCTTGTCAAACAAATTATAAGCTCCTGTCGCGCTGCCAGCCACAAACTCAAGTTGCCAACCGAAAGCGGTTTATGTAACTGTTCTAGTTGCTAGCTGCTGTGGTTGTTGTTGTTGTTGTGGTTGTTGCAATTGCAGTTGCCTGACAAGTTGTTGGCCCTGTGGGCGGCTCAGAGGCTTAAGACTAATCCGCATATGGAAAATTATATAATATGTATGAGAATTTGAAGCAGATATGTTGCGAGTGTGTGTGTGTGAATGCGTGTGTGGCTGAATCGACTTTGGATGGCTGTGGACTAATGCCGACAAAGCAATTTTCACAGTGACACATTTTCACGCAAATAGCGAGGGTTGCCCTGGAAGTTCTGAGTTAACTCAGGAAGCCATTTAAATTAACTAAAACCTTAATCTCTGTCTATTTTAAAGCTGAGCAAATAGTCAAATATTTCATATTTAGCAGCTTGGAAATAAATTCATTTTAAGTGATTGAATAAAATAATTTTAATATTCGCGCGCTCATTGAGCGTACATGAAAAAAAGGCTTTCACGTAAAATATTTTATAAAAATAAATATATTTCAAACGGTAATACCTTTGTATTGAGAAAAAAGAGTATATTAAGTTGTAGAAGTTTTATTCTATTAAAGTATTTTATTTATTTTTAAACAATATTAGATTTATGTCATTTGAATACAGTATATTAACACCGGAGTTACGTCCTGCTATTTAATGTAAAACTTTTTCCAGTGAATATTAAAAAATAAAATCGTTTCAGAAAACAATTCAATTGAATCAACGATATTTTGTGCTAAGATTCTAGTCTTAAATAAGTAAGATGAGCGCCGTGATCTACATTGTAAGGGCAATACACCTCTAGAGGGCATATCGCAGTCGTTAACAGCCGATTGCTGTGTAAGTACACTTATTTAAATAAATAAATCGCAAACTCCACTCCACTCTATAAATGTATATGAATTCCTATATATATGCATATAAAAGGCAGCCCTCGTTATGAGATACATGAGCTATGCACACACATTACTTGTGTGTGTTTGTGTGTGTGCACTTTACTTTTTCGAGTGAAATTTATTTGCAACATGCACACACACACACACATGAATAAATATAAACATAAATAATAAAAGCATATTAGTGTACATTTTAATTCGTTTTTATTAAAATGCGCGCAGGTATGAAACAGAGTGAGTAAAAGAAAGAAAGAGAGAGAGAGAGACGGGTATTTTTTGGTGTGGTTTACTGCTCGCTTTGGCTGATTGTTTGCTCTGCGGCTGTCTGACGACGGGACGACGGACGCATTGAAGTGCGGAAGACGCACTTACATCACTGCACAATTTTTACATTAATGTAACATAAAGAGTGGGAGTGGTAGTGTGAGTGCGAGGGGGATAGAGAGAGAGTGCCAGGGAAAAAGCAAGCTGAAATGCATAACTCATATGCCCCATGTGCCGTCGTGGGAAATTAAAATAAAAGGCAAACGCAACACACAAACAACAACAACAACAACAAGCGAAGTCGACTGGAACGGGGCGTGGCGTTGGGTCAAATGCAATTTCGGACTCTTTTTGCCGCATGTCGAAAAAGGACGAAACTTTGGCACTCGCCTGGCCAAATGCAAGTGAATTGCGGTCTGATGCATTTCTATTTTATTGCACTTTCTTTTACTTTTTATCTCTTCACATTTCGCATTTCACATTTAACATACCTGGCGAACACGAAAAGAAAAGCGTAAATAAAATAAAAAGAATGTGTGTGCAAAGTGCCATTTGTGCATTTCTCTTCCATTTATTACGCTGAGCGAATTACGTTTTTATAATACCCTGCAATGCATATGCAAACCATTAAAAAAAATGCGTGATTCATTTATTATATTTTTCACATGAGATCACTAGCTGTTAGTTTTTATGATATTCAGTAAATGTTTTTAAAAAGCAAAATTGAAAATTTATTTACTTATCTTTGAGTTAGCTGAATATATTGGCTGAACTAATATTTACAGAAATAATACATTTGTAAATATTAAATTAAATAAATCTTAATATTAATATGTATTGCTGGCTTGTATCTAGGCGAAGAATGAAGTTTTAAGAGTATGAACTATCGTTATCAAGGCACTTTGAGAAATCAGCTAGTCGTAGCTCCACACAATATTGTTCACATGCGATTTTTTTTAAAGAACTCTAGCACACAAATCAAATTAAAGACTATATCGAAAGTATATACATTAGAAATATATATTTCATCAGTCAGTAGCAGCTCCTATTATTGTCCCGTACTCAAAACGTGGCCTTAATAAAGCTTCATTACCGCTCGCAATGCAATTAGCTGAGTTGCCTTTATGCGATTGCCGACGGAGCGAGAGGCATGGCAATTGCTGCCAAGTGTGGCATGAAATAAGTGTGCGATATATTCATAAATTATGTGCCTTTCATTGCCAATTAGAAAATCCTGATTGCCTGCCGCACACACACACACACACACACACACACCCACACATACATTAGACTCGCTCGCTCACATATTGCCTGCAGTTGGTGGCGACAAAAGGAAAAGCGACTCACAGCAGCCACAAGGCAACCCCAAATGAAGCCAATTAGTTGACGTAATGCTAACGACGATGCTCTGCCTGGCTGGCATGGAGTGGGTGGACCAGCAACAGCAACAGCACCAGACAGAGGGAGGATGGAGGAGGGGAACAGTTTTTGAACTGCCTGGAAAATGGAAACATTTGAAGCTGTCGCCGGTGCTGTGGCCCATTTTGGTCTCGATTCTACCTGGCGTTTTCGGCTCTGTCACTGGCTTCGAGTGGCTAATTAATACGCCCCGTTGCACCGACGAGTGACATCAACTAGCCACGCCCAGCGCCCAGCGACCAGCACCCACTCTGTAATGAGCGTTCAGAGTTAATTGGCGTGTAAGAAAAGGTAAAAGGCAATGCTCCGGCTTCAGCTTCAGCTTCAGTTCCAGCTCGAGCAGGAAGCGAAAACGATGCGATGGCCGCAAATTTCACAAAATTTTATGCTTTTCAAACGGACATTAATTAGAACTAATTGCCGTCGTCTAATGAGTTAGTCGTTGTCATTGTTGTTGTTGTTGTTGTGGTTTCAATTCTCTTCTCGTCTTCTTCTTCTTCTTGTTGTTCGTTTTCCGGCAACTTACGATCTAATTTATAACCCGTCAATGGGGTGCTCAGCATGTGTCAAAGGCGGCAATCAACTCATATTTCATAGCATGTTCGACTGTCATTTGGAGCGGTGCGCGAAATTGAAACGCGGGAAAACAATCAAAACTTTTACGTTAGGCAAATCAAATCAGAGCGAACCGAAATAAACCCAAACGCGGAACAAAATATCGAACAGCACAATTGGCGCCCGGCCCTTCACTTACACGCACACAAACATACACACGCACACACTCTCACATATATATTTCTACATATTTTTATGCACGCGGCACAGAACCCAAGCCCCGCCTCGAGCTGACTTTTGGCAGCCTACCTAGCTGTATACTCCCCCACACACAAAAAAAAGGAAGAAAAAATAACCGCCCTCGCTTTTGGCTGCCTTTGTTTTTATGCGTTTTCAATCAATGGCCCAAAAACAAAAACATGTTAGAATATTAAGCTGAGACTATGCACAGAATTGAGATACTCTTTTATAATATATAAAGATATATGTATAATAATTTCAGATGAATATTCACACAATTTTAGGACGTGTGCTAAGGATATAGCAAACGATTTCAAGATTTATTTAATGCTAAAAATTACGAAAATATT